AAATTATGGCTAGTACTCCATCCGTCCCTAAATAACTATCGCTTTTAGTTTCCGTGCCGTAAGTTTAACTGGATTTGTAAGAAATACATGTAACATATGTATCTCCAAATAAGTTTATTATAAAATTATATTTAACAATCTATCTAATTATACTAATTTTGTACCATAATTATTAATGTTTTTTATATATATTCAGTCTAAGTTGTTTCGCGAAAAGTGAAAACGTCATTTATTTAGGGACGGAGGGATTATGTTTTAATATATTATTTTAGTAACTAAATAACAAACCAATAGCAAGTTTAGTGAGTTATATATTTATTAAGGGGGTTCTATTTAAGTTACAGAACTCGTATACAAAAGATAGGGAACAAAGTATGTATGCAAAGATAGGAAAAAAGATCGCGAGATGCGCATCATGTAACAAGAAGCATGCTTGAAAAAAGATCAAGAGATGCGCATACCGGCGCCTGATTGACTGATGTGATGTCGTCCACGGGCTCCATGCCTTCACGATCACGCGCCCGCCGTGGAGCCCAGAGCATTCAACGATGTCCGGCCATGCCGCCGTGGGCTCCAAGTGCGTCCGATACGCGTATGAGAGACAATACGTTCTCGATCAGGTACACATGTGATACGTATCCACGACGTATCAAACGCATATCCGTATCTGATATGTATAAGATACGCGGTACGCTACTCTCTAGAAATCCGTGCATCATTGGGTTTCTTTTTTCCTCTCGAATACGCAAAAAAATTACGCATCATTATAATTAAGATAAAAAGTTTATCCATACAAACTACACACTCTGATGAGCGCCGTAGGAGCCTAGGAGGTCTACGAGTTAGAGCCATAGGCTAAACCTTCCTAGCATATAGATTCAAGTTTCGATATTACATAAATGGTATACAATCGAGCTGCGGCCTGCGTGCTCCTATTCCGTCATCCAGGAAGAGTGCGCGGGATACAAGTAGCAACCTGGTTCGACGTCAAGTTCCCTGTCAAGATGATATCGTATGGTCACTCGGTCCCCGCACATCATAGGCTGCAACTGCATCCACAAAAACTCTTCTCATAACTCTTTATGAATGAAACTTGAAGGCAGGGGTACTGCACCCTTTATGTTTTTTTTGATCACTCGAGTGAGTGAGCCAAATCGGCTCGCCTACGCAAGCTAGTGAGGAGGGACGAAGCATCCAAACATCTAAAAAATGGGTTTATAAGCAACTTCTTGCATTTATTTTTGCCAATAGGTAAATTGGTTACTTGTCTTTTGGAGCATGTTTAGTTTGAAACCCTGTGAAGCCAAAATTTGGCTATGCCTAGCAATTTTGGCCACCATTTGGTTTGAAGTCAAAATATGACCTTGCCAAAACAAAATTTGGCTAGCCAAAGCTTGCTAGTGCAAGTCTTGGGCTTGGCCTCTTACCAATGCATCGCTGACATGGCACATTGAGATTGGAAGCATTGGTTGTTTTTCAAATGACTATTTCTCGTAAATCATCAATCTAATTTGTAAATCGATTAAATCATCTTGGTCTTGATAATTAAATCTACAATTCAATATCCATGTTTTGATGCTACCAAAATTAATCACATTTATGGCTCACGTGTCATTTTCAGAAATAAGTGGAGTTTGGTATCATTGGCTTGATAGCAGTCCAAGCCAAGATTTGGTCATGCCCTGACATTGGTTGCAACCAAAATTTGGGTCTGCTCGTTTGATGTCAGGAACCAAACAGTTTAGCTCTTTTTTTTTATCGATGATGCAAAAGGTTTGCGTGTCTTTGTATTAATATAGAGAAAAAATTTAATACAACACGTCTTAGCGGCGCCCTAGGAGTCACAAGAGTTGCACATGGACGATCAGACACATCCTAGTGAACTGAAATCTACATTATTACATTGGACACTGATCAAACCAAATTACGGTGCCGGAGGCCTATGTCCAGACTAACTCATTTTAGAAATCAAGAACGAAGATGAATAGAGAGAAGAACAATCTGGACGCATGGGTGAAAGTCGAGTCGTTTTTTCTTCAATTGCTGAGCGAGAGAACAATGGCGTTGTAATGGCCTCCATTATCCTGTTTTATTTTTATTATGTCCTGCACAACAGAAAACACTCAACTCTGACCAACTATGTAAAACACATTCCGATGTGAAATAAGAAACATTTGATTCATGATGAAAAAAATTATTTCCTTAGTATGCCCAGTTTATGTCATAAACTGTTTTGTATTTTTTTTATAAACTTGGTTACAATAGATTAATTTAGAATAAAGTTGTGTGTGTGACCCCCGCGTCGTCCTCGCGAGGCGACTCGGGGGGCCGACACGCCGCCCACCGCGAGAACCCCCCTCCCGGCACCCCCTCCGGGCGCCGCTGCTGCTCGCCGGCGAACGGTGACGGCGGCCCGCGACGGCGCTAAAAACGGTAGCCTGCTGGAGCTTCCTCTCCCATCCCCTCTCCCTCCTCCCCCGCTCCCCCCCCCTCATCCCCGACACCTTGCTCCTCCGGTGAACTGCTCGGCCGACGGGGCAGATCCGGGCCTCCTGTGGTCGAATTTGCCGTCCTTTGCCCCGGATCTATGGCCTTGCGGCTGGTGGCGCGGCGTTTCTCCCCCATCTCTGGCGCCTACCTCCTCCGTCGAACCGTCCGGCCGCCTGGGCGGATCCGGGCCACCCATGGCCGGATCTCCCCCCCCCCTTCACCCTGGATCTACCGTTTTGCAGTGGCTAGGGGCATGGTGTGTACTCCAACTCCGGTGTACTGGCGCGGCGTGTGGGCGGGGGTGCCTGGCGCTGGGGGTAGCGTGTGCGGAAGCGGTGCCTGGCGCGCGGAGGCGGCGTCCAACAGTTGGTGTCGCGGTCGGTCCCTTTCTACAGCTGTCCACCCTCCTTGGGTCTACGCCGTGGCACCCATCGGTTCCCGCCCCTCATGGGGGTGGTGCCTTTGGATGCATGGAGCTCTGGGCGAAAGCTCAGTCCGGTGGTGGCCGGGCGGACGACGGTGACGCCTTTGGCTCCACATACCTCCCTGGAGGCGTCGTTCTCCGAGCCCCATGCTCCTGTGCCACCGGTTTCTATGCGAAAGCCCTGCCTTAGAAGCCTCTAAGGTCAGCGGCGACGGTGACCATGTCACTGCCATGGGTGTCCTCCCCTTCCTAAAGGCGTCGCTGAGAATCGGCCTAGTTCCTGCCATCGGCTCCTTGAGGGGTCCCTCACTGTGCCTGTTGCGCTTCATTTCCACTCGCATTGGTCTGCTCTGTAGCTGTTGACCTTGCCCGGTTTGTTGTCGTGGATATCGTAGAGGATGCTTTGTCGCTGCTATTTATCCCCGGCGAATGCTTGGCCGCTAGTTGGTTCGTTGGCGGATGCTTTGCCGTCGTTTGGTTTGTTGGCGGATGCTTTGCCGTCATTATCGTTGGCCTCCTCTCTGGCAGATGCTTTGCTGCTGAGAGTGACCTAGCCCTTCCCCCACTACGGATGCTTTGCCGTAGTGGGTGTCTTCGCTTTTTCCCCGGCAGATGCTTGGCCGTTTGGTTCGTTGGCGGATGCTTTGCCGCCGTTTGGTTCGTTGGCGGATGCTTTGCCGCCGTTGCTGCTAGACGGTCTCCGTGGGCGACCTTTGCGATGTTGTATCCTTTTCTTACATGCTCAGTTCGTAGGTTTTAGGTGTCGTCGGTAGTCGCCATCTTTTGTATTCTTTTTTCTTGTTCTTAGTTTCTACTCTAGGTCACTCATCGCTAGTTTGGTGGTTTGTAATATGTGCTATGAGGGTTCTCTCGTAGCTGAATCGTGTAATTCTCTCTGCTTAATGAAAAACAGACTATATTCTCCGACCGCGAAAAAAAAGATAATGATGTATTTTGGGAAAGAGCTGCTGGCATCCCTACCTACCAGACTACCTTGTAGCGTAAAACCGACCAGTCGATTTTTTTTTTTTGGAATAAAGTCATTATGAGTCTGTCCATTTTTCAAAGTTGAATTTCGTGGACGTCACGCTAGGCAAAAAGTGACGCCAATAAATAAGGTCGCGACGTCCACCGGACGCCCAAGCCCAATCTCTGGTTGCCGGCCTCCCGTACCTGCCGCGGAATGCATAGAAGTCATGGCCCATGGCTTCCGTAAGCACCACCAGCACACGTAAAACTTTTCCACGCCCGGCCCCAAATCATTAGCAGCCTATAACCTGGGTACTAGTTCCAGTTCATCATAACTTGGCAGCTTATAGTTGCTTGGGTAATAGACCACATACTCATAAACTAATATTAGCCGGCTGCTTTGTAACTTTGGTTGGCTAACTATTAATCGATTGTTTATAATGTCTTTCTTCTATTAGCTGTTATTGGTAGATCGCCTTAATAATTAATAGAGATACATGAAACTTACAGTCTATTGCGCGGTTAGCTAGATGACTTACGACTCGAAGATTTATTCACGATCGTGTTATTATTCGAACTTATCTTAAAATTAGACTTCATAGCATACAGATACGTAGACCGCTCTAACTCACATGATCATGCGATTTACTCGATGATTATGTTTTCCATTCCATGTCGACTACACATCCAGGACACTATGCAACAGAAAGTCCTGATATTAGTCGGATTGAAACTCAGTGCTAAAACAAAGACACTTCTATCTATGTAAGTGGACAAATACTTGTCCAGATACATTGCTAGAAATGTATTCATTTTAAAATGATTAAAATATGTCTTTTTAAACGTGCCTGCTATTTTTCAACAGCTAACTATTAACTGCATAAATCCAGGTACCCAAAATGTGCCTGCTATTTTTTCAACAGCTAACTATTGACCATGATTATGTGATTCCCAGGCCCCTTCGTGTGGTACTCCTGCACCACATCGCTACAAATACAGCCCTCTCTGCCCTCTGCCCCCCTCCCACTTTGTAAAGGTTGCCACTTGCCAGATACGAGGAGGTCAGCCAGACAACCACCAACTGCGCTCCGACACCTCGCGGCTCGCGCACGCACGCATGGAAGGCTCGACGGCGCAGGCAGCGGGGAAGACCGTCCTGAGGGTGGCGGCGATCTCCGGCTCGCTGCGCAGGGCGTCGGCCAACACCGGCCTCATCCGCGCCGGTAAGCTCGTTCCTTCCACTCCACCCCCCCTACGCCTTATCTGAATCTTCTAGCGCCAGCGTTCTGTGGCTGCCGAATCCTGACCGCCTGCCGGGTAAACGTGTCCACGCGCGCAGCCGCGGAGATCTGCAGGGAGTCGATCCCGGGGCTGGAGATCGACCACATCGACATCTCCTCGCTGCCGCTGCTCAACACCGACCTCGAGGCCGGCGGCGTGTTCCCGGCGGCCGTCGAGGCATTCCGCGCCAGGGTTCGCGGCGCGAACTGCTTCCTGTTCGCGTCGCCCGAGTACAACTACTCCATCTCGGGCCCGCTGAAGAACGCGCTGGACTGGGGGTCGCGCCCGCCCAACTGCTGGGGCGACAGGGCCGCGGCCATCCTCAGCGCGTCGGGCGGGTCCGGCGGCAGCCGGTCGCAGTACCACATCCGGCAGGTCGGCGTGTTCCTCGACCTCCACTTCGTCAACAAGCCCGAGGCGTTCATCAAGGCGCACCAGCCGCCGAAGAAGTTCGACGACGACGGCAACCTGGTCGATCCGGAGACGAAGGAGCAGGTCAGGAAGGTGCTCCTGGCGCTGCAGGCTCTCGCGCTCAGGCTCCAGCTGGGGAAGCCTGCTGCGGACTCTGAAGTCTGAACAGGGAGGCTTGCTCATTAGATTGTCAGTCAGGAGCAGATAATCGCAAACTACAAATGTCAAAGTGGTCTGTAATCTGTACTACGAGCGTACTGTACGCTTGATGGTGTCTTCAATAATTATTTGCGACCCAATATTTCGGTGGCTTTTTCTTGACCCGGCTAAATACTTGGCGGCCAAATGCCTACGGGTGGCTTTCGTCCGAGAGTCGAGAGTCAAGTTTTTAGCAGTGCCAGTCCTGTACAGGTGCCAGAGGTGCGACGGCCCACGGCCCAGGAGAGGGAGGGGCCCAGACCCAGCTACACCATAGACCCTAGCCCTATAATCTGATGGCACTTGATAGGCAGCCCAAGATGTTCAGGATCAGAGCGCCGAGCGTTTGCTTCCCCGGTCCCCGAGTCTACCACGTACGCGAGTGCCCAGGGCGAAGGGTCATGATCTCGGGAGTCACGGAGAGTCGGAGACGGAGCCACGCGCCGCTCGCCATGCCGCCGCCGTGGAGTGGAAAGGCGGAAACGAGCAGCGCACTTACTGGGCTCGACTCGGCGATGGCGTGATCGAGGCAGATCACCCGATCATCGGTTTATCGTTCATCGGCCGATCAGGCCCTAGCACCTAGGTATTTTTTCCGTGATGATTTTTTTAATCTAAATTAATTATTTCAGACTTCTAGTACTCCTACTCATATAGTCATGCTTTTCTTTTAATTTAGGTGTTAGAATCTTAAAATGTTACCTAAGAAACATTTGTTGGGATCTCAGAAAAGAAAACAGAAAAATCTAGAAGATCAATTTATTGAATCTTAAAAAGGTGCTATACATAAGTGGACACTATTGATCTCATACCGTCTTTGATGATTCTACATCAAGAAGTGCCCGAAGAATCATTTTTTTATGAGAAGCAATGGATATTATGGAGTTCTATTCTTCCTTGTGGTAATCATATTAGTTTTAGAAGTACAAATATACTATTGTTTTAGTTTACTTTTTTTACGGTTACCACGGGAGTTTTCGCCACCTGAATTTTATTTGGCCCTCGTGGCCCGCGATAATGTTTACAAGATGTTTACATTTTGAGAGAAATGGAGTTTATAGGCCACTCCTGGGCCGTTTTAGTTTACATTGTTCCTCGATAACTATCAAACATGTTAAATTAAAAATATATCACTGAATTTGTTTTCGCTTTGCAACAAAAATTAACACCTATATATTATAAGATTTTATACGTGGTCTAGAGGGCCTTCGTGACGAGTTCGTTAGAGGGCCCTCAAAATTAAGGACAGGCACTGGTTTTTAGCAATGCAAAATTATGTCTATTTCTCATTTGAGATACGTGCAGGTTTTAAAATTGAGGGCTACAACAAACAGTAGTTTTTAAATACAATAAAAAATACAGGTAATTAATGAAAAAATGCTAATATGAATTTTGACGAAGACAAATTTGTTTACAAGGTTCTTAGAGTCCAAGGAACGTTACTTAAGGTGTGTTTGGTTTCTCAGCTAGCCTAGCTAACGCGTGGAGCCTAAAAAGCAACTAATTTCGTATCACAGTGTTTTAAGCTTTGGTATAGGACAAGCCTCGAGGTCCTCAAGCAAACCATCCAAACAAGCAACTAGTTTGTATCACAATGTCTGAAAATTTGGTATAGGATGTTGTCTCCATCCGAGATTGTTTGAAACATTTGAATATCAAAATATGTGAATTTAAAATAAATATATGAGGCACTAAACAACTTCAATTCAAAAAATTTGGTATTAACTATGTGAACATTCAAGGTCGTTTAGAAATTCTAAATTTTGAATTTCAAAATCTATGAACTTAAAATACATATTTGGGACTATAAACGACTTTAAATAAAAAACTATTCAACTACAAAGTTGTACATTGTATTGAGAACTACAACTCTGGTATAGACCATGTCAACATCCAAGATTATTTAAAATTTTCAAATTTCAAAATCCATGAATTTAAAACAATATTTTAGGACTCTTGACAATTCTAAACTAAAAACTTTTCAACTACAAAGCTATAGATCGCGTCAAGGACTATAATTTTGATACAAAGTTTGTTGAAGAAATTATTATGAATAATTTTTTGTTACAACTGTTTATAGCGGTGTGCATTTGAGTTTCAAGACGGACTCATAGAATGCCCACCTTTGTTAGCAATTTTCAGAGACTTAAGTTAAGTTTTAGCAGCTAAACTAGCAAATGAGTTATATTTTGTCAAGTGGGACTTAAGAGTAGGAGGGCTCTGCATATTGTGACTTGGTTGGGTTGAGTAGCTGCGTGTATTCTTAGGCTTTGTTTGGATGCGTATGTACTCATTTCAATCCACATATGTTGAAGTGAATTGGAGTAGAATTAAACACATATGGATTAAAATAGATACACATGCATCAAACATGACATTAATCTTTTGTAAAAATGGATTGTAATCTGACTCGTGTCTTGTTAATAGTAAAGATATCTTATCTTTCAACTGCCAAAAAAAACATTCAGGGTGAGAGGGTGACAGCTGACAATAGCGCTAGCTTCTCCACGTGCGTGGACCGTGGAAACGGAAGGTCCGGAAACCGTGGAGCGCTTCGTTTCCTTGTTGATCTTCCACATGGGCATGGAAGAGTTGCTGCTAGCAGCGTTGAAAGGGCGGCCGATCGAGCTGAGTCCGCCTACCGTGCAAGCATATGCATTGCATCTGCATGCCTACTGGCGGCCGTGGTTCCTCGTATGGGGCACGGCACCCGTACCACAAACCAACAAATGGACGGAAGCTTCGTTCCAATGCTAAGGCTGTGTTTAGTATGTGAAATGAAAAATTTTGAATGTCACGTCGGATGTTTCGGAATATCGAAAGAGGTTTTCGGATACTAATAAAAAAAACTAATTACATAGCTCGTCGGGAAACTGTGAGACGAATTTATTAAACCTAATTAATCTATCATTAGCGCATGGTAGTTACTGTAGCACTTATGGCTAATCATGGACTAATTAGTCTTAAAACATTCGTCTCGCGATTTCTAACTAAACTGTGCAATTAGTTTTTTTTCGTCTATATTTAATACTCCATGCATGTGCCGCAAGATTCGATGTGCTAGTTTAGGTTGAAAATTTTTAAAAACTAAACCAGATCTAAGCAACCTCCGGGAAGAGGGGAAACGGCCACGGCATTGCTGCCGTAAGCAAAAGGTTGACAGACAGCAACTCTTCATGTAGACACATGCATCTCGTCAAAGTCAAAAGCGGTCAATCGACGACGTCAAATTCCACATCGCTCCGTTCGATCATCGGGCGCGTTCGCTGGTCTTACCGGCCAGTTTCAGCCGGCTGCTCCTCCAATCAGTTTTATTCGTTACAGTGTTTTTCTTTCACAATAATCAATCAGTTTTAGTCAAGTTTTAGATCAGCAAACGGAGCCATCATCATCATCGTCAATAAAAAAAACAAAAGAATTTTCTTTCGAAAAAAAAACAAAAAAACAAAAGAATTTGGTACGAGAAGCCTAGGAGGTCACCCAATCCGACTCCGACTCCGATACGTCATGTCGCTCAGGGAAGAATCCTCGACAGCACACGCGCCGGCGAAGACCGTCCTGAGAGGGGCGGCGATCTCCGGCTCACTGCGCAGGGCGTCGGCCAACACCGGCCTCATCCGTGCTGGTAATTAGCTCATTTCCACTCTGTGACCCATGGCTTATCGGATTTCGTTGCGTGGCTCCTGCCTTACCGACATTCCATAATTAAACCGTGTCACCGTGTGTGCAGCCGCAGGATTTGAAGGAGTCCATCCCAGGCCTGCAGATCGACCACGTCGACATCTCCGACCTGCCGCTGCTCAACACCGACCTGGAGGCCGCCGCCGGCGCTGTTCCCGCTGGCCGTCGAGGCGTTCCGCGACAAGGTCCGCGGCGCCGACTGCTTCCTCTTCGCCTCCCCCGAGTACAACTACTCCATTTCAGGTAAATACCGGCCGCTTCTCCTATCACACTCTACTCTGAACGACCAACTCCATGCATTTCGCATGTCTGCTGATTGCGTGCTGACCGACCACGGTCCTCCCTTGCAGGCCCGCTGAAGAACGCGCTGGACTGGGCATCGCGGCCGCCGAACCGCTGGGGGGACAGGGCCGCCGCGATCCTGAGCGCGTCGGGCGGCTCCGGCGGCGACCGGTCGCAGTACCACATCCGGCATGTCGGGGTGGCTCTCGGCATCCACTTCGTCATCAAACCGGAGGTGTTCACCAAGGCTCATCAGCTGCCGAGGAAGTTAGACGACGACGGCAACCTGGTCGACCCGGAGACGAGGGAGCAGGTCAGGAAGCTGCTCCTGGCGCTGCAGGCGTTCGCGCTCAAGCTCCAGGGGAAGTCCGCAGACTCTGAATAGGTGAATCGGTTGATGGCTCCGTTTGTTAGATTGTTGAGGCGAGTTCAGTTGTGAATAATTCTCTGCGACTGAACATTTCGGTGGCAGTAATGTAAACCATCGCTTATTACCTTTTCTGCTTCAGTTTTGCTCACTGATATTTCGTTACCAGTGAGTATGTTCGGTATTATACAAAAATAAGAGCAACCGTGATCCCCATTGCATGTTAGATTCGGCAGTACAGGATATTGTGACATCATTTTTCGAGAGCCATTTTCTTGTACGATGAGATTACACCAGGAACTGAAATTGGGTTTGTGCTGAATGATTGAACTGATGATAAACCATAAACGGCAGAGTTGCCAGCTTGAGTTGAGGAAAGAAATGATCACCTCTGGCTAAACACATGTCTGCTCCTAGTGTGTGACGACGACAATCCAGTAAACCACATACAGAGAACACGCAAGCCAGAACCTGAAGTCATTCCTCATTCCGAAACGAACTTGGAACGATCTGCAGGCAAAACAATATGCGTATGGAACGACAACGACAGGATGCAGGATGCTAATGGTAGTGGCAATGTTTTAGTTTTACATTTACATACAGGGGGGCAGCAGCCCATACGTGAAACTCGACAGTATGCAATTCTACAATCTGTAACACGACAACCAGCCATGCCAAGACGAAACAATTGGCACAACCTTTAGTGGGCCTTGTATAGAATGCCGCTATGTCCTACTCCTATGATTGAAATATGTGGGCCAAAATCCCACGGGCCTCTGCCTTCTGGAGAGCTTACTTATCCAGCCGGGATGAAAGTGTCGGATTAAAAGATATACAAAAAAGAAAGAAAAAAAATGCAGCAAAGATAACACTGACCATGACTAGTTTTCATTTTTTTTCTCGATCACATAAAAGATTTGCGCGTCTTTGTATTAAGAGAGAATAGTTTGATTACAACGGGGATGACTTAACGATTTTCAACAGGTTCATGGTCTCAACGACAGGACACACGCTTAGCCTATTACTCGCCGTAGAAGATTAGTTTTCATTTTGATAATCACTTACATTATTAAACATTTATTTAGGCCAAACTAGCTCACGTTATTGACCCTTAGCGTCGTATCTTTTAAGAACTTAGAGGGTACAGTGTTTCCTCAAAAAAAAAGTATAGTGTATATATATATATATATATATATATAGAGAGAGAGACGTACTATTCTGTAGCTGGCCGCAGAATAAATTATTCTGTGACCACTTTAAGTTACGATAATTACTATACTAATTTACGAGATTATGGTAACTCTCTCATAAGTGATTTACTATAGCATTATGGTAAGTATCATCTTGAATTATAGTAATCCACCTGTATCGTAAATGTGTATTGTCATTATCGTAAATTAATACAAACATTATCGTAAATTAAGATGGCCATAGAATAAGTTATTCTGTGGTTAGCTGCAGAATAGCCTTACTGTATATTAGAAGGAGTACTCTATAGCTGGCTACGGAATAATTTATTCTGTAGCCAGACCCAACACCCGCGTCCGATGCAGCGTCAGGAGGCCATCCGTCCCACCCAAGACTCCTTGCCTTGGATGGAGCCCATTAATAGCTCGGCTGGTTTGCATTAGTGACCGGCTTGTCACCCAAATTACGCTTACTCGTTTCCAGAAATAGGAGACCGTCTCAATCGTGGATGGAGACGTGCGTATCATCGTCGCTTCTGCCGATGACCATACGCACCCTAGATCTAACCTGTTCTTCCAGACGATTCTGCTTTGCATCTTTGGGCAGCTCCATCGTGATGGTGACTCGTGGCCACACATGCACACTACTGCCAGAAGCGCTACAGCTCGCGTCTATTCGCGCGGATGTGCAGCAGCTACTGGTGGTCCAATTCAAGGTGTGTTCTCTAATCCCTTCCCTGTTTTATCTTCCAATTGATTTACTGATTTTTTACGTTTGTGAATTCAAGGTGTGTTCATGGATTGATTATGCTATTTAAATTGTGTGTAACACAACACTCTAGTGACACATCGGTGATATAGTAAATTACTAGAATCATAGTACCTACTTATACTTACTAATCTAGTGACACATCACTGCTAGCTAGATTAGTCAAACTTCAACTGGAACTTTACGTTGTTTGTATGGCTGATTTGATTTGTCCCCACCTGTTGAACACTACAATACAATTCAATATTTGCAAGGGACATATATTCTAGTAAATAATTCGAAAAATTGTATTAAATAGATTATCGTAACTAGAAGGGTAGAGAAACATAGATTCTAGTAAATCTTATTCAACAACATAGATTCTAGTAAGTCATGTATAAAGTTGTCGTAAACCATGATAGTAATTCACATTCAAGGTTCATTCTCATAAATCACACTAAATTCTCGTAAATCATAGTTGTCAAATTCACTGGAATACCAAGGCATAGATTCTAGTAAATCACATTCAATGCCATATATTTTCTAGTAAATCATTTACTTGATATGATAGGTTTGTATTTGTATTTAGTATTCTCGTAATACTTGCATGCAAGACCGTAAATTGGTCTCATCATGCTTTATTCTCGTAACTACCTAATTACTTAATGAGTATTTGCTTTTAGTATTCTCGTCATACTTGCATGCATGGCAGCAGCTGTACTAGTACACCAGCTTTATGTGTATTCTCGTAACACATCTGTACACGCTTGCATGCATGGCAACTAAAATATATTCTCGTAACCACTCACTTGCATGCACGTGTATTCTCGTAACTTTCATGCACACACAGTAGACAACCCAAAAATACTGTGCGCTAATTGATGCATGCGCCCTAATTATGACCAGTATAATGCCCGTGCTAACGCAACGGATTTATCTTGGAGACGCATATGAAAACAACAAATGTTTTTTTTTCTCTCCATAGTTCAACTTTTACACAATATCTTTGAGCATGTATACAATCCGAGAAACTAAGAAGTTATAGTAAAGTTTTTTCTAAAACATTTGGTCTCATAATTATGGAGAACGTTAACATGAAAGCTGCAAAAAGATTCCCTATTCTCATAATTAAGCATGAAAGCTGCAAAAAGATTCACTATTCTCATAATTAAGCACGAACTTCGACGATAGCAGACCAATTCTGCTGCCTGATTTGTCACAGCCAACAAGAATATGTTAGGGACCGTCTGCAGCACATCTGGCGTACTACAGCTCCTCGCAGTTGCTTGTCACTGCGGCCGTGAATGAGGATGGTGTCCTGGAGTTCCTGCTCGGAGGCAAATGACATGAGCTTATTATAAATGCTCATAAGTCCCAATTGACAAGAATTAACTGGACGATTGATACTTGATTTAATTTTAGCAATGTAACTTAATCATGTTTAAGAACAATTCGTCAAAGAATAAATCTATCAAAATATATTCAGATTCGGTTAAGTTTTTAGATCAGCACATACATGTCAGTTGATTATCAAACTCAAACATGTAGATATTAAATAAATTTACAAAACCCACACAAGGTCAGTTAGATTCAGTAGCAACAGAATTACAAAAGCCAGGGCAAGTCCTTTCCTTGATCATTTCATTGTTGCATATATTAGTTGAGATGGTAAAAGCATGTTCACGAAACAACCAAGCATGCATTGTCAGGTCTCTGGAGAATCTCTCAAACTGAAGGTCAGGTTTCTGTCACTTGCAAGTAACATAAACGGTTTGCTACTTGCTTCATCTCTATTGACTGTTATTAACATTGCGATTACATGTCTGACTTTCAGCTGCAAAAGTTTCAAGATAAGCTATATGCTGATAAGATGACCGACTAAAACACTGAAACTAAATGTTTTCTTATTTCTGGTTTTCCAAACTAAAACACTGTATCTCAGCTATTGGAGCCAATATTTAAAGGAAAGAAATTCATATTTTGCTTTTGGCACAAATATAAATGTCTCGGTGCCATGACTGATTATGTTTTACTAAATCCTGTAATTTCAGTGCTCAGACTTGAAGGTACCATCTCTTAGGCTGAAGGGAACAGTCGTAATACCACTCATAATACCACAGAATAAGACATGGAAATGCAAGTGCATGGTATGATATCTTAGCATCTAATCCAAAGCAGCAAATAGAGATCATATCTTAGATTCACCATAATGCATCATTTTTTTCTTTTTTTGTGTGCCGAAAAGACAATACAGGTGCAGTAGGCCATGCTTATATCACAGAAGTGACCAAGCACTTGTGTTGTTTTGTTATTTTATACTCCTTCCGTTTCAAATTGCAAAAACTATTGTCGGATACCACAAGAAGGGGTACCCTAAGCAAGAACCAAAAATATTGCTTAAACCTTGCAAAAATCAAAACCAAAGGACAACCACGAGGTCTCGGCAGATTCTCCGACTCGCCCAAGGCTTGCGCCGAGGCCTCAGACGAAAGGCCAAAGCCCCTCCCCCCCCCTCTCGCCCGAGGCCCGCCCCTCATAAGGTCGGGACGGGATATCAATTTCTGATTCGCCGAGGCTGGGTTCGGCAACAACCTCGTCACCTCCGTCCCGACCGACTCCTCGACAAAGCGTCACGTCCGATTAATCGCGCCCACTACTCCCATAGAACGGCGCCTTGACGTTGGCGCGATCTGAAGAGAATGATCGACGGGACGGGGGCCGGGCGCGGCGAGGGTTACTTGCCGCTGTATGCTCATCTTTGTGCCCCTGGCGACACCCGTCTTTCCTTTGTGCTACCTAACTCTGCGCGAAGGACAATGTGGCGTGGAGGGTCAAGTCCGGTCCCTGTAGTCTCGAGAATCGGCATGAAAGACCAAGCTGACCGTCCTCCGCCTCGTCAAGACCCCGGCAAGGCCTCGGACGTACTATTCCTTCTCCGCCTCGGCCGAGGCCGGGCTCGTCCCGCATCCTCGTCGCCTCCGCCTCAACCGTCCCTCTGGCGAGCCGTCCCATCCGTTTAAGTGCGCATGGTCACACCTACTACGTCGTACATTTGGTGGGAGTGCTGACAGCAGGCGATGGGA